CCAATTGGGTTTTTTTTCCTGATGTTAAACTAAATGGATCACTGGGTATATTATTAGAAGTTCTGTTAAAACGCTTTAATAACACAGTCTGTAATCTACCTACCTTCCGTGATTGACAAGTAGGCCCCGGGGGATCTAAAATTCAGGAAGTGACTATTTACATTCATTACATACATGCTAATTTTGTGATCTCTGATGCCCATAAGGTTGTCATTTTTTCTCCTTTTCATATACACACAGAGAAAGGAAAATAGTAATATGTTTACTATGCTGTGGCCAAAACAAAGACTTATTTCCCCTAAGAGTTTTAATTATGGCATTTTGGGAAAGGCCTGAGTTGGAACTTGCAAGTGGAATGAACCACTTGAATAAATGGTCTAAAAAATTAAGTCCACATAAAAGGGGGTGATGTGCGTGGCTGGCTCAGACTAAGCAGTGCTTAGTAAGAGGGGCTCAGTGATTTAAATAAGCCATTTGAGGGCGGTTTGCTCCTCGTTTGAGGCCTGGTCCTGATTATAAATGAGAGCTTTTAATTAAGATTAGCAAGACCCAATTCAAGCTATAATTTGGTCCTTTTCCTTAGCAAATGTCTATGAAAACAAGGCAATTAAGGTTAAATGAGTTGAAGCATTTAAAGAGGATGAAATGCCCCCTCCTCACCCCAGCCTGCCCCTCCGGCAGAATAAGCACAAACAGGCCTGGCTAATGCAGACCAGGAGGCCAGTGTGGGCTGGCCCTGGCTGCCTGCAAAGGCCCATTCTCGCGAGGCTGGGTGAACCAGGGATGCTCCACAGCCGTAGCCGAAGGAGGAGAGACAGAGAAAAGAGCGTGTGCAAAGGCCCTGGGGTAGGAAGGATCTGGCCAATCTGAGAAACTAAGAAAAGAGAGTGCTGCCGGGTAATGTTAGGGATGCAGAGGTGAAATCTGCTCAGTGTGGGTGAGCTGAGCACAGTGCTGGGCTGTGGGGGTCACCGCTGAGTTACAGGACAGGTGACATAGTTCTAGCCCCTCACATTCACAGCAGCTATCTCCTGACAATTGGAGGCAGCAAGAAGGGGAGAGATAAGGTAGGAAATGTCCCCACAGCCTTCTCCATCATGCCACAGCAATGGAAACCCCTCCTCATGTCTTCAGACAGGCTGCTGGGGGGCTGCCATCACGGTGTGGGGCTGGCATACAGCCTTGCTGCCTGTCAGCTGGGCCACCCGGGCTGACCTCGTGGACCCAGTTTCCTTTGGGCCCAGCCTCCAGTAACCATAGAGGTCCTCACAAAACAGGTGATAGGGGCTCTGTGGAGGAATGCGCATAGATGACATCCCACCTGAGGCCAGGGAAGGCTTCCTGGAGAAGGTGACCTATGGGACACACCCCACCCACCCACGCTTTCCTCCGTGGGAAACCCTCCACTCTGGCTGGCTTGCAAGTGCTGAACAGGTCGTGGGTCCTGCCGTGAGGCACCTGCATTCTAGGAGGAAGCCCAGGAAAAGCCAGTGCAGCTTGCTGGGTTAATATGGAGACGCGAATAGAGCTGGGGAGGGTGATAAAGCAGGGCGCTCACCTGTCAAACACAGGCCTGTGGTGATGCCCCGTGAAGTTCCCTTTAAGTCTCCACATGCATGCGTTTCCCCCAAGTGACTTCCAGTTCAGCCAAGATGTGAATCACTGAGGAAGCCCAGACTTAGCCTCCGTCTCATGTACCGCTTCGCCCGTGTTCTGGGCCATTCTGTGTGCCACGGCCTGTCCCCCATGTGGGCCAGACTGCACCTGGACACAGCTGTGCGCGCTGAGGCCCCCAGGCACAGGGCAAGCGGGTCTCAAAGCTGCAGTAAAAGCCATCCCCAGAATGGGAGTGCAGGGTGCAGGGTTTGCTACGGGAGTTTTCACAACCAGCAGAAACTCCAAGTGACACAGCTGAAGGCTCCTAAGGGCTTCCACAACCTGGCCCCACCTCCTGTGAAGAATTGGGTGGGGGGCCTGCAAGCTTTCAGGAAATGGTTTGCTATGACCCCTCTGGATGTGGCAGTCTCTGAGCTCTGTAGGGCAGGGGGCTTAGTACCCCAAACTCCAGCCCCTGCAGAGCCTCAGGAGTCCCAGGGAAGCAAACAGGTTTCCTGTGCCACAAAAATGACTGGGTGGATGGTGCGGCAATCAATTACTGATGTCTGCTGGGGGAGAAAGTGGCAGCGAATTTGTCAAGCCCATACAAAGGGAAGCCTTCCACTCCATAAATTTTTAATCGTGATTCCTTGGTAGGTAGCTCCGTGCAAAGGGCCCAGATATCTGTCTCTCTGACTCTGTGGAGATAAGGATGTGTATATAGGGTTTCTGTGAATGCCTCATTATATGGCATGCCTCATCTCCTGCCATGTTAGATCCAGGATATTGCCAGGAACAGACAATGCTCCCCTCTTTGTGCACACTAAACAATATGACGAAGACCAACTTATCACGATCAACGATGACCTGCTGAAATGATCATGCTCAAAATCATCGCCAACAACGCTGCATCAACACCACTGCCTCACTGGCACCCGCATCATCCCCATCGCCTTCCTCATCGAGATCAGCATGGCCGACCTCATCACCAACACCTCCTCAGCAATGGCCCACCACACCTGGGCCCTGCTCCCAACCTGGGGCAGGCTCCCCCCTCACACCTCTCAGTCTCCACGTGTCCATCTGCAAGCCTGGAAGCGAGCCTCGGCATGATCTGCAGGCTCCAGGATGCCACTGCTGCACGTGGCCTGCCAGCTCTCAGGTCTGCATAGTCCTCCTGGGGAAGCCAGTAGGTGGATGCAGACCAGGACTGCGGGTGGGTCCCAGGGACGTGAATGTCTGATGGAAGCAGGATAGGGTCCACTCCACTCTCCAGAGCCCATGCCAACACTCACTCATGGGGCTCTGGGCTCAAGTGGCTAACTGGCATCATCTCTGTTCCCATCGTTTACTCCTCATACCAAAGCCCCCGCATCCTAAACGTGCTGGTGAAGACCTCCCACTGACAGACAGTCCCAGTCTGCATGGTGCCACCAGCCAGCAGGCTCCTGGGAGGCAGGGACTGGGCTGCACCATGATCGTCACCTTCCAGGGGCCCAGCACTGAGGGAATGCCAGACAGTTACACCCTTCCTAATCTCTTTGGGCTTGCAGAGATTAGGACCTGAGGACCAGCAAGGGCGGTGGTGACAAAACATGCACATCTGTACAGGATGGAGCAGATTGCTGTGTACTGAACAGCCCCCATGAGCCACACACTGAGCCTGAAGGTCCCTAGGACATGGCGCTGTGTCCTGGTCTTCGGGATGAGCTGTGGTGGGAACAGCGTGGGCTCACAGAACCAGCGGAGAAACTGAGGCTCAGTGAGGGCAACCTGCCAGGCACTCACAGCAGAAGTGGGCTGCAATGCAGGGCTTGACACGGGGTGACAAGGGCATCATGGCAAGAAGGAGCCTCCCTGGCCCAGGGTTGCACACTCCCCACCACACCCCTCACTGGCATCTCACATGTGGCCCATCTCATGTGCACTCCATGCTGGGCTGAGAGGAACCACTTCCCACTGGATTCTGGGGGCTTCAGGGAGCTGGGCAGGAGGCCTCTGGGCAAGGGCCAAGGGAGGCATGTAGGCCTGAGGAGCTGGGCTCAGGGAGGCAGGGGCCAGCTCAGTGGCTTATGCTGGCAGAGCCAGGGGTCAAGCTCAGCCTGCCCTTGCAGAGAACTGGGCTTGGGGGGCCAGAGGGAGGTCAAAAAGTGCCCCCACACAGCCCTACTGAGCCAAGTCCAGGCACTTCCAGGAGCCACACCAGCCACCCCAGCAGGTTCCTTGTTCATGAGCAGCTCTTCCTACCCACAGCTCCTCCTGGAGGACTGTGGTTAGGCTCCAGGTCCCAGGTCCTGAGGACTGGGGCCTGTGCCCACAGCAGGCACGATCCAGGAGATGTCACATGTCAACACTTGGCCACAGGTAGAAGCTCCACAAAGGAGACAGCTAAACAGTACCACCTCGACTTTTGTGCTCTCAGAGTTGAGCTGGCAGGGGCAGGGCACAAAGAAGGAGCCACAAGAGTGTGGCTGAGAGAAGGTGGAAGACCGGATTCTAGTCCTTGCTATGTTGATGCAGAACGTGAGGACCCTGCAAAAGACGCTTCTTGCTGAGCCTCAGCTTCTTCATCTGTAAGGTGGGAGCTATCAGGGAAGATCTGGATGAGTGACCCGACCCAGGGCCACCACACTCATCCCCAAGGCCAACCTCTCTCCCACATGCACAAAGTCAGCACCACTGTGGCTGCTGTGTGTGTGTGTGTGTGTGTATGTGTGTGTGGGGGGACTGAGAATCAAACAGAGTTTTTGCAGAGCTATATCCCTAGCCTCTGCTAAATTTATTTATTTTCAAGACAAGTTCTGATTAAGTCACTAAGTTGTCCATGGATGGGATAAACTTGCAGTCCTCCTGCCTCAGCCTCCCAGAGTGCTGAGATCAGAGGCATGGGCCCACCATGCCTTGTGAGATTGTTCATTTCTTTCTGGTTCCCACCTGCCAGTTTCTAATGCCAGGTGGTCCAAACAGTACTGGTATAGCGAGGGGAGGCTGAACAGACAGGCAACTCCAGTACCTGGCCAAGCTCTGGAGCTTGAGACTGAGGAGTCCCTGAGCAGGTCCCCTGGAGGAAGATATAGGCCATGTAGGGTGGTTTTGGTTTGAAGTTAGGCATCCAGGGGGCATGCATCACCACAGGCCTCTACTGGCCCCCAGGTCCAGTTAGGAACAATTATACAAATACGGCATTCAAGGCTTCCCCTCAAATTCTTTAAAAAACCAAGACCGTGAAACCTAGGTGAGAGTCACATCACCAGCATCTAACCCTTTCAGAAGCAGCCCATGTTCCAGGACAGCTGCAGCCTCCCGAGGGAAGCAGGAGAGGACCCAGAGAAGCCTGTGCTGTCACTGCTCATGGTGGCGGTGGCCACCTCCCGGCAGCCGCAGGTCCTGGGTAGGGTACTCACCTTCACACTGCCTCCCTTCCCCCTTGTAGCCTGGCTTGCAGAGGCACTTGTAGGACTTGGGTGTGTTCTGGCAGATGGCATCAATGTGGCAGTCATCTGTGCCCTCGGAGCACTCGTCCACGTCGACCGCGCCTGCGGGGGGTGTAGAGGTGACAGGTGAAATGTGGCCCTGAAGAAGCCAGAAGGGTGTGGACAGGGCAGCTCTCCCACCCTTCCTTTGATCATTGGGGTGATCAGTGACAGATGTCACAGGACAATCTGGGGTGGTAAAGTGGCAACTGGTAGCATCATGGGGGCAGCTACTCTGGACCAATACCTCTGGACTCATTGTTATTTCCACAAGAATCCTGTTAAGTGTGGCAGCTATTTTTCCCACTAGGGAGATGGGAAGATGAACTTCAGGGAAAGGCCCTCTGTGTTCTCGGTGCCCGGTGAACATGGCTCCAATCCTCCTTCTGTCTTCTTGTTCAAGAGTTTGGCACCACAGGGTCTTTGGAAGAATTCCAACCCTGCCCCTTTGGTTTACAGATGGGAAGCAGTGAGCAGAGACCACTCCAGGAGGCTCCCATTGGTGACTGGGACACGGGGACCTGCCCAGCCCAGAGACCACAGCCACGCAAGTCTTCCCCCCGCTTCTGCACCCCAGCCTGCAGAGGCCAGCAGCTGGGCTGGCTTCAGACCAGGTGAACCCCGGTCATCTGTGCTTCTGAGCACAGATGTGACCCTCTCTCCCAGTCAGTAATCTAGGTGTGACCTTGCTTCTCAACCCCAGCTTCGAGGATGGTCCCACCAGAAGGACCTTAACAGCAGTCCAGACTCTTTCCTCAGGGTTCTGTCAGGGAACAGGGAACAGGGCCCAGGAGAGTGGGGTACAGGGGGTTCAGCTCCCAAGGGCAGAGTCTGGATCAGGCTGCTTCTACCCAGTTATGGATAAAAGTACAGTGAACAGACAGAAGAACCTCAGTGAGCAGTGCCAGGGCAGTCCCCAGAGAGAATTCAGAATGTCCCTACTCTATTTCTCTGGCCTCATGCAAGACAGTGGGTCCCCTAAGAATATCCACTTTGGATGCACCCCCTTCCTGGCCTCTGGGTGCTAAACCTATGGGGGTACCTTCCCCCAATGTCCAAGCCTTCTCTTCCTCCAACCCACACCCTAGGGAAGAAAGGCATGAAAAGGAACACAGCATGCAGGGGCCCGGCCTCGATCCGGGGCCTGCTGTGCTGGCCCCACCCTGCTGAGACGGCCACTGAGACTGGGCGATGGCGCGCACCTGTAATCCCAGCTCTTGGGAGGCTGTAATCAGGCGGATCACTACCCATCTGATCTAGTAGTGAGACCCTGAACACCCTGCAGATCCTTCCCTAAAATATATGCTCAGGGGAAGGTGTATCCTGTACAGCTGCCCAAACCCTGATGGAAAGAGGCTGGGAGGCAGTCAACAAACCTCAGGGCGGGAGCAGCAGAAAGGTGGGGGAGGGTCGCCTGGGGCAGTGGCACCCGTGCGCCCCTGTGCAGGTCTGGCTTTGACTCTGGGCTGGGGGCTAGTGGCCAGGAATGGCTGATCTGCATGCTTCAGGGCAAGGGTGGGGCTGCTCGGGGAGAAGACCAGCAGGGGCGTCTGATCACAGATCCGGCTCTTGCCCCTTCTGAAGAAGCGTCAGGGTGAGGGAATGGGGACCAGAGCCCGGCTGGAGCTCTGCAGCTCCTTGCCCCTCCCACTTCTACTGCCCTCCACATCAGGATGGAAGAGGTGCAGGTAAGAGGTGGGGGCTCCGTCTGCCAGCACCCCTTATAGACTCATCTTTAATGGGAGATGGGGGGGGGAGCGGAGGGATTCGAGGGACACAGGTCAGCTGTGCTCCTGCCTGGCCTGGGCTGGAAGCCCCCTGGGGCAGCTTGACCTCTCTCACAGGTTCAGTTTGACTTCAGTTTGCGTGTGCTGCCCAGCAGCTGGCCTTTCACAGAAGGGGACAGAGGCATACACAGGGGAACTCAGAGAAGCCCACAGACCCGCTGGGATGTGTGCCAGGCTCAGTGCCTGGAATATGGGGCACCGATGAAAGCTCAACTCCAGCTGGAAGAGGGGAAGCCGCCTGGCACCTCTGCACTGGGTGTGACTCCTAGGAACTCCATGACAACCCCAAGGACCCAGCTCCAGGCCCGCAGGACTCTCCTGACCAGCTAAGGAGAAAGAGGGGGAAGCGCCCCTGAAGATGGACAGTGCATAAGCCCGCCTTTGCCTGGAGCGGCTTCCAGACAACCAGAGATCAGGGGTCAGGGCAGAAAGGAAGCCAGTCGCCATGAAATCACAGCGGCACTCCCACATCATCACCTCTGCTGCTGGCTGGTCCCTCCTGTCCCCTCTGAGGTCCACGTCTGGGGCCCACTCCTTCTGTTCCCATCTGCTGCCTTCTTAAGTCCGTCAGTCTGTCCTCTCCCAACTCCTGTCTGTCTGTCTCTTCGCAGGCATCTTCACGCTTCCCCTCTCCTTACCCCCCGGGGCTCAGGTCCTGGTCCTCCATGTCCTCCCGATGTCCCAGGGCCCCACCTCTCCTGGTCTCCATGGGCAGCGCAGCCCACCCAAGCCCCCACCACCCCGCTGTCTTTCTCCTTCCTGCTGTCCAGCGCCTCTCTTTCTCCTCTCCTCTCCGGCCTCCTGCTCTCCTCCCTGCCCTCCGCGTCGGTCTTTCTCCGGCTGAGAGTCCTTTTGTCTACTGCCCTGCGTCTCCTTTTCGGTCCGTCGGTCCTCGATCTCCCCTCCCTCTTTCTCTCGCCCTTTCCTCCGCGCTGGCCTCCGCGGCTCCACTCGGCCTCCTCCCACCCGCGCCCCTCTACCCTGGGGGCAGCGCCCCTAGAGGCTCAGGTCCCGCCCCGCCCGGCCCCCTCGGCCACGGCCGTCCGTCGCGCTTCCCTTGCTCCTCCCGCCCCCGCTTTCCCTCCCGGGCCTCAGCCCACCCCGCCCCTGCTGCGCCCAGCCGGGGGCTGGGGAGGGGGCGCCCCGCAGGCCCCAGAAGTTACTTTGCAAAGCAGCGGGGTAATTGGAGGATGCAGCCCCAAAAGCGCGGTGTAGGGGCCCCGGGACTGCTTCTCTTGCCCCCGACACTCTCGTTCCCCACCCGACCCGGTGCGTACCTGGGAGCCCGCTGCCCCCGGCCAGCCGCCCGCGCGAGCCCAGAGCGAGCAGCACGCACAAATGCCAGCGCACGGCCGCCGCGCCCATGCTCGCTGCGGGCCGGGCCAGGCCGGCGTGCGGGGCGCGGGACCCTCCGACCGCCGCTCCGAGCGCTCAGTGCTGCTGGCCGCTCCGCCGGCGCGGCGCTCCGAGCCACAGAGCCGGCGCGGAGGACTGGCTGACAGCCGCGCGTTCATTGGCCCGCGACCTCAGGGGGCGGAGCGCCGCGTGCGGCCAGCCAATGGGCACCGACGATCGGCCTGCGGGGGAGGGGCGGGGGCCTCGGGGCAGCCCCCTCCCCTGGGGCGGACGGCAGGTGGGGGGTGGGGCCCGCGGGTGCAGGTCTCAGGGAGCCGAATTGTGCTCGTGCCCCTGGGCCCTGCCGCCCCGAGCTCGGAGTGACAGGGTGAGGTCAGCACCCTTCCCTCCCACTTCAGACACTCGCGATGGAAATGAGGGTACCGCGGACTGTAGCCCGGGATTACTGAGGCCGGGGGTGCGGTGGGCAGTGACGACGACGTATCGTTACGCAGCCATCAGTCCACACTGCCATCTGTGCACGTTTTTTGAGCTCCAGAATGTGCCCAGCGCCACCCAGTCGCCACCAACAAGCTAAGCGGAGCAAACTCGCGGAGAGTGCTTATGCATTTAGAGAACTTTTGGCCACTCCCCCCAGGACAATGGTCTGTGCAGTGGGCTGCTGTGGGTCCGAAACTGCATCTGCGACAGTGTGGTGGGTGGCAGACACGGGAGTCCCGCCGAATGCGCGGAGAGCGGCGAGTGCAGCCCGCGGCGTGTGCGAGGCCTGGACTTCCCGATCAGGGCTGGTGGGCAGTGGCTTGGACAGTGGGAGCATCGTGGTCACTCTGCTCCCGCTGTAGGGAGGTCTCCACCTGACGCCCTCGCCCTTGGTGTCCCGTGGCAGGCCCAGCCCACGAGGCGAGGCTGGGAATAAATGGCCCCTCTCAGCTCCAGGCTGGACGCTTGCTCACAGGGAAAAAAGTTCAGCAAACCCCAAGGCCCATCTCCTTGACAACCACCAATAAGAGCTCCTTTTTTCTTCTCCTGCTCTCCAGACCAGGCTCAAAGACAGGACTTTTTCTTTTTGTCCCTTCTGCCTGCGCCAGTGTGGGCCCAACCTTTCCCCTCCGACATCTCCTCCACCCAGAGACAGATCGGGTCCCGCCCACTCCGGTGGCCATTCTAACTTCTCATTCGCTTGTGGCATTGGCCTAGTTGGCCGAAGAAAGACCCCCGAAAAGGCCAAAGAGGAAGGAAGGTCTGGTCTGGCTTCTGATAAATACCCTGCTGCTACCCCACTGCTGCACCCACTTTTTTCTACCTGGCTGCTCCTGGCTGGTGTTTTATTTAGAGAGCCCTCCTCCCCTTATCAGACAGTATGTTGTCCCTTTCTCAATCTTGTGGCTTTCGACTTTCTCACCCAGAACTACATTTGTATTGTGCAGGGACAACAGGACAGCACCTGTGTTTGCAGGGATCTGACTTACCAAAACCAGTATCCCTTCATGTGCCCCCAACCCTGGCCAGGTATTCCCCCAGCTTGATGGCAGCCAACTAAGTGGGGATGGAGGCAGGTTATGGCATGTTATACTGTGACTCCCATGACCTGGGGAGTTTACTTATGTGAAAGTTTGGTCTGCAGCCTGTCCCCAAGGAATTGCTCACATCAGCATTGCTGGGGACCCCCTCCCCAGACGTACAGACAGAGGACAAAGTGGTTCCTGTCACAAGGGAATCACTCTTGGTTGGTGGAGCAATCAGGGGACAGGGTGGCAACAACTGACAACACACCTGTAAGCCCCTCGCAGATTCTCTCTGTGAGTTGGCTTACAGGACAGAGAAAGAGGTGCTGTGGCCTGGAGCTGGGCAGGAAGTGGGAGGAGGGGGATTTCCTGGCGGACAGGCTGGATGGAGGAAGAAAATGCACTAAGGCCCATAGAGAGGGAAGGGAGCACGCCATTGAGAAGGTCTGCTCCAGAAGCCCCTTGAAGCCTGTCCAGTGCAGCCTCACTATGTGTTATGGGACACAATAGAATGCCGCCCACAGAGCCTGGAGTGCCATACCAGGCGGAGGTGGGTGAGTGCGAAGAGAATCTGAATTCCAGGAGCCAGCAAGGGGGCCTCAGCATCCCTAGAGACTGAGGAGGGAGATGTCACCTTCCCAAGGCCTGTGAGCTCCTTGCCTGGCAAACTCAGCCCCTGGCCCTCCTTGGCATGTCCCGGCCTCAAAGATGCTCTGCTTCTCACATCCTCAACCTGAGTGTCCCTGCTGCTGGAAGCCCTTCATCCCAGCTCTCTGCCCACACCCCAATCCCTGCCCATAAGCTGGGTACAAGGCTTCCTTGGAGCTCTCTGAGACCCTGGACTTTACCAAGTTGGAGGTGAAGAGATTACTGCCACATGAGCAAGTGGGTGACCTGGACAAAGAAACAGGCAGACGTCCAGTAATCGTGACTCTTACTGCTCCAGGGAACCGATGCTGTGGCCACCGGATGGGCCTGGAGGAGTGAGTCTGGCTGCCCACTCTGAGCTGGCTGGCACCTCTCTGTGCTCGGTGGGAAGCGGAAGGGGTCGGCAGGACCCATGGCCCTGAGTGCCAGAGCAGGATGCAGCTGTGGGGCCCTTTGGCTCCCCCTGGTGACGCCTCACTCGGGTCTTAGGAGTGGAGCTTTCCTGTTCCTCCTTTAGGTACATAGGGCTCCCTGACTCACCAGCATTGCAGGCCTCGGTTTCCTCTCTGTGGAACTGAACACTGAGCCCCGTGGCTATGGTTGGGGACCCCTCTGAAGTTCACCTCCCCAGCGGTAAAACGAGACTGATGCTAGTCTTTGTGTAGGGTGTGGATTAAGTGGGATGCTGTCCCAGAAGCCCTGAGAGCCGTCTTGCACGCAGCGTGGTACATGCTGTTAGGATGACCACTATAATTTTTTTTTTTTTGAGACAGGTTCTCACCATGCACTTCAGGCTGACCCTGAACTCACTACGTAACCCAGGCTTGAACTCGTAGCAATTCTCCTGCTTCAGCCTCCTGAGTGCTGGGATTATAGGCATACGCTCTTATGCCTGGTAATCATTAGAATTATTGTTACTCCTGGCTCTAACACTGTTACCGTTACTAGTAGATGATAGTAGTAGCTAGCGGGTTAGTAATGTCTCGCTTTGTAGAAATTTCCTTAGGAGGAATTCCCTTGAATAATAGCGGCTGTGAATGCTTATTGAGAACATAAAGTTCCTCGCAAGGGTAAAATGTCATTGCATAGATGTTCTGCCTCAGCCTCGAAGACCTCGGAGGCTTTTGTTTTCTCTTATGAAAAATAAAATCAGTGTGGTGACACATGCCTGTAATCCCAGCATTCCGGGAGGCTGAGGCCGGAGGGTTAAGAGTTCCATTCCACCCTGGGTGGCTTAGTAAGTCCTACTCTCAAAATAAAAGGGCTGGGGATTTATAGGTCACACTGAAGGCAGAGGGTTCAATCTCCAGTACAGCAAAAAATGAAAGAGAAGAGAAGAAAGCAAGGACCTCGGCAGGGCTCACCCTCCTTCAGTGTGAGTCCTTTGATGGTACTCATGTTCTGCAATCCCTGGGAAGTCCTGGATCAGGCAGGGCCTTTTTTTTTTGGCCTGTGCTTCCCACTGAGTCTCGGTCCAAGTGAGCTCCCGAATGGCCTGCCTGCATGGTGGGGTGCATATTCCGATCTGGCATTGTACGCAGGGACGTGGTCTCTAGACAGGGCCCACTGCAACAGTGACACTATGTTCGTCATTTGTACAGCTGACTTAGGCCTGGCTCGGGGCCATGGTGTACGTCTTTCTAACTTTCTATAACCTCTTGGAAGTCTTGGCACTGCCTCAGCCTGGCAGCCAAGGAGGCACAAGGCAAGGTGAAACCAAGAAGGACATCTCAAGAGAGACCACAGTGGGGCTCAAGGTCCCCATAACCTCCCTGGTGGAAAGCCTTGCAGGTCACCAGTGTCCTCCCAGCACCTCCAGGGTATACTGGCAGAAGTGACTGAAGTTCATGGCCCTATGGGTAGGAAGAACTGCAGCTGAGACCTAGAGATGCCCCACCTGGACACATGGGGTGACATCCTGGCCACCTAGCTATCCCTTCTAGACCCTGATCTCGGGCCTCAGTGGGGACCAGGGGACCAGATGGGCCAATCATCAGTTGGACAAGGACATGAGGGAGCCTCATGTCTCAGGTGCCATCCCTGGGTTTCTGTCTTCTTCCCTACGTGGGTGAGAACAGTAAGGGCGGTGCCTGGGCTGTCTCCACTGTGGCCCTACCGTTGTGGGGACAGTGGGCTTGGAACAGTGGGCCTTCAGTTGGAGAAGCAGGGGAAAGATAGGAGGGCAAGGAAGGAGAGAGACAGAAGTACAGAGGGAGGAAGGGAGAGCAAGACAGAGGCAGAGGCAGGTGTGGCGAGGGAGCAGTTTTAAGGTCCCGCTGAGTCACCCCTTTTGCTCTTACAATTGCTACGTTAGTTTTTGCCACTTGCAGCTGAACTAGTCCTGCTCAGTCACTGACCAGAGTAGGGGAGGGGTTGTGTCTGTGAAATGACATTTGGATGACACACATGCCAAGCTGTGCTCTGAACACTTTCCTTACACAAAACCATGCAGCCCCACACCTACCCAGGAGACCGGTGCTGATCTCCCTGTTTACTGACCCAAGGAGTGTGACAATTCCCTGTGAATCTGACCATTCTGTGACTCTTTCCTGTAAGAAAAATCTAAGGTCGATAAGGACTCTGCAGCGAACTGAAGTGAGGCTGTGCGGCAGTGTGTGTGTGTGTGTGTGTGTGTGTGTGTGGTCATCCCAAGAGCTAAAACTGTCAGGCCCTGAGTGTCACAGTCCCGAGCCATGTTGGGATGGCAGTGGGGGGAGGGGAGAGGTTGGCCACATCCCTCGGGTTCGCGGAATGGGCTTGGTCTTCCCGGGTCTCCTGCTCTTCCCTCTGGGGTTACAGGCCGGCCTGCGCCAGCCCCTCCCAGGCCACTGGAGCTGCGGACCGCTCAGAGGAGGGCAGGGGTGCGCGCGCATCGCAGACGCTCATCTGGACCTCACCCACGCGGCCTGCTCA